CCCCCAAAGAGATGGGGCACCCCCCTTTCCCCTCCCAGAGATGGGGATGGGTGGGAGGATGGAGCTGGGGGTGGGCGATGGAGAAGAAGGACCATCAGGGTGAGGAGATGGGTTCTGGGCAGGGGTGAGGGGGGGGGACACACGCAAAATGGTGACCCCCCCTTGCCTCCAGGAGATGCGTGGGGGGCGTGGGGGGGTGGGTACGTACAGAAGTAGGGGTGCTCCATGGCGTCGCGGGCCGTGAGGCGCGTCTGGTGGTCGTAACGCAGCAGCTTGTCCAGGAAATCCAGGGCCTCGGTGCTCACCAGGTGCTGGTTCTCGCTGTGCACGAAGCGCTCCCATCGCTTCCGAGAGTGTCTGCCGGGAGGAGGAGGAGGAGGAAGAGGAAGGAGGAGGATGAAGGGCAAGTGCCAGGTCCTGCACTTGGGCCACACCAACCCCCTGCAGCGCTACAGGCTGGGGGAAGTGTGGCTGGAGCTGCCTGGAGGAAAGAGACCTGGGGGTTCTAGTTGACAAACGGCTGAATATGAGCCGGCGTGTGCCCAGGGGGGCAAGAAAGCCAATGGCATCCTGGCTTGTATCAAAAATAGTGTGACCAGCAGAAGTAGGGAGGTGATTGTGCCCCTGGACTCAGCACTGGGGAGGCCACACCTCGAGTGTTGTGTCCAGTTTTGGGCACCTCAATCCAAGAGAGATCTGGAGGTGCTGGAGCGAGTGCAGAGGAGGGCAACGGAGCTGGTGAGGGGGCTGGAAAACAAATCGTATGAGGAGCGGCTGAGGGAGTTGGGGCTGTTTAGTGTGAGGAAGAGGAGGCTGAGGGGAGACCTCATCACTCTCTACAACTACTTGAAAGGACACTGTAGAGAGGTTGGGGCTGGTCTCTTCTCACAGGTAATTAGTGACAGAACGAGAGGGAACGGCTTCAAGCTCCAACAGGGGAGGTTTAGATTGAACATTAGGAAGGAATTTTTCACCCAAAGAGTGGTCGGGCATTGGAACAGGCTGCCCAGGGAGGGGGGGGAGTCCCCATCCCTGGCTGTGTTTAAGGGCCGTTTAGATGCAGTGCTGAGGGACATGGTGTAGGGGAGGACTTTGTAGAGTAGGGGAGATGGTTGGACTCCATGATCCCAAGGGTCTCTTCCAACCTCAATGATTCTATGAAGGAGGAGACAGAGCTCCATCAGACCCCCCTCTGGTGTCTCCTCTGGGACCCCACCTGCCGAGGATGTCGTTGAAGCGGGGGTCCAGCTCGATGTTGTACTTGTCGATGTAGTCGTAGAGGTCCTCTGTCCCCAGCACCTTGGCGATGCGCACCAGCTGCCGGAGGGAGGGACAAGGCTGAGGGGTGACAACGGGGGGGTCCCGGCCCCCCCACAACATCCTGAGCTCCCCCACCGCCAACCCCCTCCTCCCAGCGAGGACCCAGCTCCGTGGCTGGAGAAGGACACGCTCCTGGGCCCTCTCCAGGGTGGGAAGTGGAGTTGGGAGCCCACAGGTTCCTCTAGATCCTTCTCCTGGGATGAGGTGGGTGAGACCCATGGAACCACCACAGGGGTTGGGTGGGAAGGACCTTAAAGCCCCCCCAGTGCCACCCCCTGCCCTGGGCAGGGACACCTCCCACCAGAGCAGGTTGCTCCAAGCCCCCTCCAACCTGCCCTTGAACCCCTCCAGGGATGGGGCAGCCACAGCTTCTCTGGGCAACCTGGGCCAGGCTCTCACCACCCTCACACCAAAGAATTTCCTCCCCAGATCTCACCTCAATCTCCCCTTTTTCAGCTTAAAATCCTTCCTCCTCATCTTATGTCTCCCCTCCCTGATCCAGAGTCCCTCCCCATCTCTCCTGGAGTCCCTTGAGGGACTGGAAGGGGCTCCAAGGTCTCCCTGGAGCTGGCATTTGGGGAGGGGATGGAGAAGTGACCCCAGGGTGGGGAGGGGATGGAGACAAGACCTCAGCGTGGGGAGGGGATGGAGATGACACCCCAGGGTGGAGAAACAATGGAGATGACACCCCAGGGTGGAGATGGGATGGAGATGGTGCTGGGTGCTGCCCCGGGGGGGTTGGTCTCACCTGGTCGTAGTTGTCGTGGCCGTGGAAGAAGGGCTCTTTCCGGAAGATCATGCTGGCCAGCATGCAGCCCAAACTCCACATGTCCAAGCTGTAGTCGTACATCTGGAAAAAGCCAAAAAAGAGGGAGCCGGGAGGTCAGAGAAGATCCAGGAGGATGGAGGGGAGGGAAGATGCGCTGAGATCCCCCCCCAGAGGACGGCAGAGAGCAGAGGGGGGGTTCTGGTACCGTGGCCACCAGCCCCACACTCTGCTTTGCCCAGGACTGTCCCCATCCATCATGGGCAAGACCCCCCGACCACCCAAGAGCACCCAAGGGCCATTGGGAGGGTGGTGGATCCTCTTTTCTTCCCACCTTCCTCATATTTGGCCCAAGATTCACCCCGGGGGAGGTGACACCCATCCCTCCTGAGCTTTTCCAACCGGTTGGGTCATCTCTTTGTCCCTCTCGGGGGCAGGCTGGGACCTGCCGGGGACATGTATGGGCACAGGATGGGGTGGGACACCATGACCACTGCTGGGAACGTACCTGATAATCTACCAGGAGCTCCGGTCCCTTGAAGTACCGGGAGGCCACCCGCACGTTGTACTCCTGCCCGGGGTGGTAGAACTCTGCCAGCCCCCAGTCGATCAGGCGCAGCTGTGGGGAGAAGAGAGGACGTGGCTATGGGGTCCCACCACCACACCAGGTGGAACCCAGGACCACCTGCGGCTCCTGCAACCCTTGGTGGGTTTGTCACCATTAACCTGCCCCTTCTGGGCTCTGGGACTGGTCGGGGGGGACTCCAGGAGACTCACAGCCCTCCCCAGAGTTGCTCGTTGACCCTACATGGTCTCCAGTCCCTCAGCTGGGTCATTAACACCAGGTAACACCAGCCCTAGGACAATCCTCTGAGCACCACCTGCGGCTCTGACGGCAAACCCACTGCTAATTACTCCCTAATTATGGCTTTCCAGCAGCTTGGTACCTGCCTCAAGCTCTGAGGCCATCAGAAGGAGAGACACGGAGCTGTTGGATGGGGCCAGAGGAGGCCATGGAGATGCTGGGAGGGCTGGAGCCCCTCTGCTGGGAGGGGGGGCTGAGAGAGTTGGGGGGGTTCAGAGAAGAAAAGGCTCCGGGGAGACCTTGGAGCCCCTTCCAGTGAAGGCATCTCCCAGCATCTCCAGCTCCAGAGAGACCTTATAACAACCTTCCAGTCCCTCAAGGGGCTCCAGGAGAGATGGGGAGGGACTCTTGATGAGGGAGGGGAGCCATAGGACGAGGGGGAAGGGTTTTAAGCTGAAAAAGGGGAGATTGAGGTGAGATCTGAGGAGGAAATTCTTTGGTGTGAGGGTGGTGAGAGCCTGGCCCAGGTTGGCCAGAGAAGCTGTGGCTGCCCCATCTCTGGAGGGGTTCAAGGGCAGGTTGGAGGGGGCTTGGAGCAACCTGGGCTGGTGGGAGGTGTCCCTGCCCAGGGGGGAACTCGATGGCCTTTAAAGGTCCCTTCTGACCCAAAACCACACTGAAGGTGGGTTTCCCACTTGGCTGCTGCCCAAATTCTGGTGAAAAGGGAGATTTGGGACATCTCCAGGGGGTTCAACACTAAATCTGGGGAGAAGGAAGGGCTCAGCCCCGGAAACACAGCCGGTACCACGGAGGAGGGAAGATTTCAAAGGGCACAGTGGGTGTGTGGGTGTGTGTTTGTGTGTGTGTGTGACTCAGCCCCTTCCTGCTCCGATAACGGGCGTTCAGTAGCCACAGGGGGTGTTCAGTAGCCACAGGGGGTGTTCAGTAGCCACAGGGGGCTCCTCCCGAGCCATGGAGGGGGGGAGACACCCAGCTCCCCCCTTCCCAGTCCCTTCTGAAGTCCAGGCTGGCAGCTGGCTGGTGGCTACGGACGCGCCGGGAGAAATCTCCAGTTAAATTTAC